TATATAGTATCTTATTCGTATTATATAGTATTTTATTCTACTCTTATCCTATTCCAGTGTTTTTATTAATTTTTGCTACTGTAACTTTGTACTGTCCACTTTCTGCTGTGACACAACACATTTCTCACGTGTGGGACTAATAAAGATGATCTTCTAAAGGTTATCTTAACACCAAGAATGTTTTTATAAAACAACAAGCGACACATGGATGCTCTGTGCTTTCACTGTGGTGTGTATCATCAGTATAAAATCGTAGTCTGAGTAATTCTTTATAAATGTCATCAAATGTGTTTCTTTTGTTTTACAGAGAGTTTTAGAGACACTGTTCAGAGTTAGTTTTTTATCAAATTTGTGTCGGATGTGGTTCCTCCTTTTTCTTCTGGGGAATAATTTACCTGTAAGACAACTTCTTATCAAGCTGTTGTTACAGTTCTTGTCTGAATGAGACGCTCTTGAATTGTGGCACTATGGGTTGTAAGTCTTTGGGTAGTGCTGTGTGTAATTTGGTGAAATCTGATTTTGAGAGATTAAATTGTGTTTAGTACAGAATTGATTATAATCCAATAAGTCAGCATTAATTTCCGTTAGATCAGTTATAAAGTGTATATTTCTCTTAAACACGTCTTTGTAAAACAAGGGTTTTCTGTGATATATAAAACATATCTGTTATTCCATAATATTGTGTTACGGACCTGTGACAGTATTTGTTGGTGGGATTCTGACAGATAGACGGGAAGCTTGTTAACATCAAAGTGTGTGATAAGAAGAAAGTTTAGGCCACTGATTTTACTGAATAAATAATTACCAGGATGAATCACTGTGTTTGGATTTTAGCCAGTTTATTTTTAAGGTCCTGTCAGTTTCAAACCTCCATCTTTGTATCTTTGATTAAACTGGCTTTTTTCATGCAATGAGGTTTATTTCTCCAAATAAAGTTGAAGCTTATTTGATTGAAGGCACTGTCACAACTGCTGATATTCTGATACGAGCCACAAGTTAAGTTTCTGAATTGAACTCCAAAACCACCGTGTTCAATGCTCCACTGAATCTTTGTTAAAATCTGCAAAGAGACGGTAACTCCTCGTCTCATTGTGGGCGGCAGAGTGCAAGTCTGAAAGGTTTCTAAAACCACTCGATGTAAAAGTCGATGTGTTCCCAGAAATGTTTGTAGAAATTTTCCGTGGGACCGTCCAACCCGGGGCTTTGTTAGGACAAAGTTGTCCAATCACTGCATCAATATGTAACAGTCACAATAGTGCGGTGTCTCTTTAAGACAAGCTAGTGTTTAGTGATGTCACCATGGCGCCTGTGGCCTCAGCAGAGTGTGGGAGAAGCGTGCTGGCACACATGGACCTCACATCTTTACCTCCCTCACTCAAAGCAGCAGACAGGTTGTGTGAACGCTGCTTCCTGTGAGACGGCGGCCTCGTAGGGCTGCTGATGACTGTGTTTATTCAGGGTGGGCCAGTGTGGCCGCGCTGCTGTTTCTGCCTCCTCGTCTCACCCACTGAAAACAACTCACATTACAAAGTGTTGCAACTGTTATTTGATCTTCACAGATGTGTTTGAAGTTCTTGTCTATTTTAGGAATATGATTGGCCACGTCATGTAGGAATGAACTGCAGTCCTGTGCAGAGAATCTCGAGCTTTACCGATGGCTGTAAAGGTTGGTGTCTGTTATTGTGAGTGGGGTCAGATTTATTACAATGAATATTTCATTGCCTGATAGTTTCTGAAGGACAAACCTTTCATTTTCTTTACATCCCTTAAATTAAGAAGAAAAGACATGTAATGTTTTTAAGGAATGCACCGAACACTTTTATAAGTGCGTTAAACACCTGAAGTTTGTGTAACAACAAAATCCTGATTAATTACAAGTACTGAGGTTAGTTAACATCTAACAAATGCTGTTTCGATGGAACGCCAGAGCTCGCCTCCCGGTAAACTGCATGATGGTCTGTCGGGATGATTAACGGTGTGGGACCCAGATGATGTACAGAGTGCAGTCCATTTTCTCCTTCCAGTGTGGGACGTGTGTTTCCTCCTCTTAGCCCGTTCTGTCGTAACTTCCATTTTATATCGTTCTTGTTCTGCCACTTTCATTTCCAATTGTATGGCTTTTCTTTCGAGCTGTGTGTTTTTTGCTCTTTCACTTCTTCTTCTAATTCTTTTTCCTTTCTTTAATTTTGGCAGAGTTGAATGCTGCTGCTTTGGCAATGCTATCGTCCTCCATCATAGTTTCATGTGAGTTAGGTTCAAGTTAGACCTCGTCAGGATCTTGTTTTAAGGAGCTGTTTACAAGACTTCTGATCCCTCTGCAATCTTGCAGGACATTTGGTCGAATAAGAGGATGATCACGTCTGTGTAAACTCGATTCTTCTCAACTTCAAATCTACATTCCTGTTGCAGAACAGCTGTGGAGGGACACGAGTCTGAGTCTCCATAAAGAATAAAGAACGACTTTCTAACAATGAGGCAGTGAAAGATTCATTTATTTTAACAGTCTGATAATAAAAACAGTCTCGGGTGTTATTTGAAACCATTTCCTCCACCTCCGCGTACACTGACGGCCTCTGACTGTAAAGTCGTGTTAATGTCGGAGTACATGTGCCGCCGTTATGTATTTAAAATACAAAATGTGAGTAACTGTATCGGTTACAGTTACCGTTTAAAAAGGTGGTATTCAGAATACAGTTACTTTGTTGAAATAAAGGGATTACACGGCGGTACTTCCTGTTTCATATGTTCGGCTACGCCCTCTTTATGTTTGGTAATTCCACGCCGTTGGAAACCCAAACAAAACACGCATTAAGAGGCTCAAATGCCCGTGTTTCAATCTCGTGTCTCATAATGACGTGAAGAAATATTTTTTTAAATGATTTAATATGAAGGCAACAGGCAGAGTGTTACAGGCATCGCCTTAAAGCATGCAGCCTGATGGGCAGTGTAGTCCGTGCTGCAGGGAGGATGGACTGACATACACGTGATGTGTCTGTGAGCGAGTCGAACCAGACAACAAAGTAAAGCTAGTTTTCAGCTACGAGCCGACACGAACCCGACGTATTAGCAACAGGCCGCTGACCTGTTTTACAGGTGTGGAATAGTTTTCTACACGAGATCGCTGCAAAAAGTGCAGCCTTACCTAATGTCCACCTACTGTTACTCATTTATATTAAGATTTAAATCTAGCTGGTGTTGGTGTGGAGAGTAACCTTCAGTAATAAATCACATTCATGTAGTTGTAAAAAGCATGATAATATATTAAGTAATCCAAAGTAATCAGGATAGCGCCCGTTCTCACTCCTGAGGCGTAACATGCCGACGTTTTGTCACGTCCCGGGGCGTTCCTGAGGAACGCGAGAGGAGACCTTCGGCGTTCTTATGGTACGTGGAGGGTTCTGGGCGAAATCCAGTGCAATGACGCTCCCGCGGTAATAGACGTTCCAGCCCTGTATTCCAGCCCTAAACCTAACCTTATCCCTAGCCCTAACCATAACCTTTTTCCTGACCTTAACCATGACTGTAATGATGTTAAATAGCGTGTTTCTAAGCAATTTGAAGAAAAAGAGCGAACATGTGTAGATTGAGTCCATACGGTTCTCATATTTCCTCATTTTTCCGAGGTCGTCATTTAGGAACGTGGTGGGTAGCCGAAAACGAAATATGTTGACGATTTGTCACCTAGCGTAAAATGTTACGCTTTGGGAGTGAGAACGTGTTGGAGCAGGATACGTTACTCTCATTGAGTAATGTAACGGAATACATTACAAAATATATTTTGGGGCATGTAATCTGTAATCTGTAATCTGTAGTGGAATACATTTTAAAAGTAACCTTCCCATCACTGCAAGGTGATTGGTTGATATCCTCCTTAGGTCCCTCCCTCATGAAGATGGTCCTTGAGTCATTTCCTCATTATCCAATTACACTTAATGACTTCGTTGGTCTAATGTTTAAGATGAATCTCATCACCCTCGTTAGAGTTCGTACCTTCCTCTGTGTTTAACCATGGTGGTGTAACCAGGCAATTCCCTTACTTAACACTTTAACCCCCAACACGCTGCTGGTCAAAGGGTTTTACAACACTTTTTAAAATTACTATAACTTTTGAACGGTTTGTGAAGGCAGCGATTCTGCGCTTTTTAGCGATATTAGAGTCATTACTGTAATCCCACCACGTGTCACTCAGCCCTGGAAAGGCTGCTTCACCAAAAATAGCTTCCGTGAAAGACCGAGGCCATGATTACAGCTCCTCAGTGATTGCTTCTGTTTGCTCGTCTGCAGAAACCAGTGTTTGTAATCGCAGTCTGCAGACCTTTGGTTTTAAACCATGTTACATTGAAAAGCCCAGAATAAAAGATGCAGACACACTTTTATGTTTTTGACCTCTTTACTTTCTCAGGTGAAGTCTTGGTTTCTGATGGTAGGTGGTTTCTCTAAAGGGGAACCTTGATACCTTCACCTTCAGCACAGAAACCTGCAGAGAGAAACAGACAGTCACATCACCTGATTCACCTCAGACTGATTTCTCAGATTCTGGTGCAAACAGTTAAAGTGAAGCACTTTTCTCTGGGTTGTAGATGTAATGTGGCTCTCCGGAGAAGCCCATGCACGTTGCCTGCTGCTTGAAGTGTTCCAGCTCTGGCTCCTTCAGGGTCGATCCTTTGCCTGCAAACAAAAACACTCAAACGGATGAACACTTTGGATTTGAAATGAGAATTTTAACTTCTGTGGCTAATTTCCATCCTACCCAGAAGATAAAGGGAATGAGCAGCGATCTCATCGCTGGCATCTAAATCGATCTTCAGTAATTTAAGCAGATGTTTGGTGTTTCTAGCCGTGCTGTTTATCATGAAGACGAGGCAGCCGTCACAGCTCGGCAGCAAGTAGAACGAAGACGTGGAGTTGGCCACTGGGAACAGAAACATTTCATGTAATAACAACATGATCTTCATCTGAAACAGGAAGTCCAACTTCACCTCGAGGACTGAAAACCTCACGTAGGAAAATGCCAGAGATCAATTTACAAAAGAGACAAATACACAATCTAATATTAAAGACACAATTAAATCAGACACAAACAGTTTAACTGAAAATGACACAAAAACCTGGGGATAAATGTACAATCATCTAAAAAAAAGCAGCTAAAAATCCCCTAAAATGACCTTAAATAGAAGAAAGAACAGAAAAATATCAAGCTGTTTGAATAAACCGAACAGAAAATATGATAATGGAAGAAACAATATTACTGGAAACAAATGAAAAAGTTAATCTAAAATGAGACAGAACAGGAAAAAGAATCATCAAAGCTTTGCAGCTTCTCTGTAGTGTGTCAGGTCCGAGTGGGTTGCGTACTTTCCACCGTGGCAGTGTTTCCTTCAAAGGTTACGTTCGTCGTTGAAATCATGCAGGTTCCGTTCCTGAGAACATCAGAGAGAAAGAATAAACTCACGCCCACTTCAGAGACTCTCCTGCCCTCAGTTACTGTCTGTTGCCTGCTGCCCCCTGCTGACCTCTGCTGCCCCCTGCTGACCTCTGCTGCCCCCTGCTGCCCCCTGCTGCCCTCTGTTATGCCCCGTTACCATTTGCTTCCCTCTGTTG